ATACATAAAAAAGATGTTTGCAAGAAATCTTTTATTTCTTTACTAATAAAGTCTTAATACTATCCCTAAATCAACTTGAAGTTTTACTTCAAAAGATATTTTTAAAACCTTTTTCTTGTTTATATTTGTTCTCGAACAAAAACTTGGCTTTCGCTGATCTAGAAAAGTCAAGAAATGTACTTTCTACTTATGGCAAGAAAGTTCTGTAAGGAAAAAGAATTAATAGTTTTATATAATAGAAGATGACAAATATCAAGTTATATTTTTAAAGTGTCTGTTTACTGTTTCTTCTCTTTTATAGTTATCCAAAATTTTTTTAATTTTTTGTAAATTTTGTTTATCTTAGTTTAACTTTGAATTTTAAATGACACAATCTATTGCAAAATATAATTAATGGATATGAAATATATTAATAGTTAAATATAAACAAGTTCCTATTGATTATCTTATATATTTTGATAATATTATTGATAATAGAAAGAATTGATTGATATTTCATATCTGCTCTACTCCTCCAATTGGGTTAATCTACAGATCACATTCAATAAGACCAATAAGATACAAGCAACAAGTTCTCAAGTAATAAAAAAACTATTATTTGTTCAAGCTAAGGTTCTCTTTTATTATTTCAGTTAGGCAAAGTTCAAGATCAAGATCTCCTTTTTATTCTAGTTAGGCAATAAGATTGAATGGTTTCTAGTTTATACTAAGTTTCAACTCTTTGATTACAATTGAGAATATATTTTTCTAGAAGTTGTTAAAGAATATTATAAATGACAAGGATTTCCATCACTTTTCAAAACTTTTCTACTATTACAAGACAAAAGGATTGTTGAGAAATCTAACTTTTTAAATAATGAAAAATATATATCAGTAAAATTTCTTTAACTAGGTGTGGCTACTAAAAGTTATTATACTAAAACAACATGACCCAGTTTCTATTAAATCACATAAGAACTTGGAGTCCATTATAAGTCATCTCTCTATTGCAGATGGATAAAAAATCATTGTTCAAATAAGATTGAAACCAAGTATGTCCTAGAAATAAAAGCTTATATTAAGTGATAAGTCTCCTTAGACAATACATAAAAAGAAAATCAAGATCAAGAATAGATAAGTTTCTTAAACAATCAAGAAAAGAAAGGATATCCCAATTGAATATTTCTTATTGAAAAGAATTTTTGAGAAGTAGGTCTTTGAAGAAAACTAGAAAATTTTTTTCAATTTTTACTCTTTTATTTTCTTGTTATCTACTTAGATATTTTTAGATATTCCCCTCTTTTTTTTCAATTCATCTTTTTATAATTTTCTATATTTCAGCAACTTGGTATAATATATGATAATGACAATCTGCTGGCAATGATGCAGTGAATTAGAAGAGTTTTTATTTAAAAATACTATAAAACAAAATATTTTTTCAAGGTTGAACTTAAAGATTTTTATGTTTATGACAAGTTAGTTAGATTAGCATAATAGTTTAACTATGGTATATATCATGCTACTTGAATGAAAATGTACTTTTGTTTTTAATTGATTAATAAACCAATGATTTAGCCTGACTATAAATACTCAAAAAAAAAAAACTATACACAAAAATCCAACTCTTTCTAATGATCCTCTGACTATACACAAAAAAGACACACAAAAAAGCTTTTCTAGCTTTTCTGTTGACAATAGTCTTATCACTCTTCTTAAACCACCCTGAGAAGTTTCTCAGGAGTTACTTATATCCTTTTCCTTTTGTCTACATTCTCTTCAAACAAACTTGACTACTTGTGACCTTAATAGTTATAAACATACCTTTCCTACCTATGGCAAGAAAGTTCTGAAAGGAAGAAGAACTGAGGCTCTACCATCTCTCATCTTATAGAGAAACATTACAGAGCCATTTGGTTGATATAGAGAACTATCATGAACGCACCATACTCACTCTCTTTATTACTGGTTGGGCTCTAATAGTGCTCTTTCTTGATCATTTCTAAAGAATTTTGCCTACCTCAGTTTGACCCTGAATTTTAAGTAGCACAAGATTTCTTATGATTTGATTGGTCCAGTAGAATCACGTCAGTACAAAAATGTAAACAAGCCCTCATTGGTCACTCCACGTGTTTGAATGCATTTCCTCAACTCTATAAGAATTTGGAGTCCACCATAAGTCACATGGAACTAACGTGGGGAATACAGGATATTCTCACCTACCACGTCTTTGACTCTTATCAGACAAGAGGAAGAAACATACAGCTGTAGACCAGTTAGCTCAACTCTTAAAACACAGAGGCCTAGCAAATATCTTTCGACTTTACTGTATCGAGATAAAAAGGACTTGCGACAAGATAGAACATACTGTATTGGATCGACCTACACAGTTATATATAAATCATTATCCCCAACCCTTTCTCTCACAGAGATAGAATCCCTCTCACCTTGGAAGATGAAAATCACCCAATCACACCAAGAGGAGCTCTCTTCCACCAATCACCTACCAAATTGACTGCGCAGATGATTGTTCTAAAGAATTCTCCTTTTCTGTTCAGCAAGAGTAGTTCATTCCTATATATAGTTGGAATCTGGCTGAAAAGTAATTTCACCAAAGGGACATAGAAGAGTTTCCCGCAATACTGAGGCAACCTTAGGTAAAGTTAAATTGAGTGGCACCGGTACTTGACTTAGGAGTTGATAACACAATCTGAAATAATCAACAAGCTGGCGCATAGATATTGCTGGGAGTTATCACAAGATAACATGGGAAACCACATCAACATCACCACTCTGAGTGCATTAACAACAAATACATCCAGTAGAAATATTGGACAGTATGGACTCAAGCGAAAGTTTCTTCCCTCTTATGAGTTGCACAATAACTTATCGATCAGCTCAAGTTTCTTTTTGAACTCACGAATAGTGGTGATAATATCTGAAAACTAAGAAACACATTATATTACTCATATATCTCCTTTCTATATCACTAGTTTAGATCTTCAAATATAGGTTTACTATTATTAACTATTTTTTCAAGGGGGTTTTATATAGTTAATTCATCCATTGGAATCCACTCTATATACATGATCATAGATTTAGATACATCCTTCTATCCTGTTCTTTTTTTATCTTTTCTAGAGGATGAAATACCAATGGCACTTTGAGTACATTGGCCTCTTGAAATTGTATCTGGCAGATAGCAAGGATCCTCATCAATGTATTTTATTGTCAAACTATAGATAGGTTTAAAGTTTATCTGTTTTTCTGGAGTATAACTTCTCTGAAAGAATATACTTACTTGTCTATTAAATTTCAATAAAATGGTTTGTCCCGTTTTTTAAAAAAAAAAAATATCCAGTGAAATTAAACATAATGGAATCTTAAATACATAATTAATGAGATTCAAACATAGGCAGATGAAAAGCTAGAGTTCATCTGGCAACAAGCCATGAAAGGTTGATTGACAAAATTTGCAAATAGGAATAAAAATAACTTTGTGTTAATATAAATTTCCATAAAAAATGTACCGGAACTGAGTCCGACCCTCAAAAAAAAAAAAAAAAATTTAGGTTTGTACGTTGATTAAGATCAACGTTTATGTCAACTATTTTGGTATAAATACAAAGCAATTTGTTCTTAGATTACAACATCCAATTCTCACACGTATCTCTTATCGAGAACGCAAGAGTATACTTCTTTTAAAACACACACAAAGCAAACGCCTTTAGAAAAAATGACTGGTCGTGGTAAAGGAGGCAAAGGTCTCGGAAAAGGAGGAGCTAAGCGTCACCGAAAGATTCTTCGTGATAATATTCAAGGTATAACCAAACCTGCTATCCGTCGCCTCGCACGTCGTGGTGGCGTCAAGCGTATCTCAGGTCTTATTTATGAAGAGACTCGTGGCGTTTTAAAGGTTTTCCTTGAAAATGTTATTCGGGTATGTTATTTTGTGCTTTGCGCGTCTTTGAGGTCGCGATTCTGTGAACATTTTTTTCCTAGGAATGTATCCATATAATATTGAGGCGCAGTAATAAATTATAATTATTTCTTTTCAGGATGCTGTCACTTATACCGAGCATGCTAAACGTAAAACCGTCACTTCTCTTGATGTTGGTACGTAAAATTCTGTACCCGTCTTCAAAATCATTAAAAATGGATTGCTAACTAACTATTCATTATTAGTTTATGCTCTTAAACGCCAGGGTCGAACCATTTACGGTTTTGGTGGTTAAGAATTTGTTATGATTTTCATTGGCCCTTCATTTGTCTCCCTTTTTTTCAATGATGTGTAAGCCTCTAGAGGGTTATTGTATATTTTTCAACTTCTCAGAATTGCTCAATTATCCTCATCGGTTATCTAATCACATTTTCTTTATAAATGATGTGATCAATAATTGTTTCTGTAAATAAACGAGGTAAAAATATATTACCCAGTATAAATATCTATGTGAGATAAATGCATTTTGCTCTAAACAAATTTTATGATTGTTACACTTTTTAAACGTTAAAACACATGAATTTGGTGAATTAAAGAACTGCGTTTTAAACAAATTTATACATCATTACGTGTTTACGATAAAAGTCGAGGCTCGCCTTCAGAACAAGAAAAGATACGATACAATAAAGGAAATTCATTGGTACGTCATTGCATGATAATCAATACGTAATAAAAATGTAATATGTTCTGATGGTTATAAATTCACGGCATTAGATTTCAACTGCGTTTTTTTTTCTTGACAAAAGATCAATAAAAATGGTTTACTTGAGTCATACCATCTCTGACAGCCGATTAGAACATGAAAGAGATGATAATGGTGAACGGGTTTGTAACTTTTAACGGATGCGATCACGTATCTCGACGAAAATCACAATTTGCTTTCTTTGTAAAGGTATTCTCAAGCACCGTGTTTGGGACCCGTTGGGCTATTGAACCTATTCCAAGGTGATTATTTAAAAGTAAACAGTAAAGAGATTATTGATTACAAAAAATTTTACATAGATATGAATTGCCTGCGGGAGAAATGCCCTCCAATGTTGCTTACGAGCTAATCAAAACTGAACTCTCGGTAATATACATGGTTATTTTGTACCTCAGATCATGATGAATTTCCTAAAAATATATCGTTAACATCAATAGATGGATGGGAATCCCGTTTTGAACCTGGCATCATTTGTTACAACATTTATGGAGAAAGAAGCTGAAAAATTGATTCGAGATAATTTGCCTAAAAATTTTATCGATTACGAAGAGTATCCGGCTTCTTCTGATTTGCAGGTATATTTGGCTTATCTTACTATATACGTAGCTGGTGCAGGATTCTATATATGTAGCTGGTGCAGGATTCTATATATGTAGCTGGTGCAGGATTGTTTCCAAGTGAAATTTCCGTACTATTATAATTCGGAAATTTTACTCGTTAATTCGATGATGTTGCACAGTACGAAAAAATTTCTAATTTCATATTTCAAAATACCAGAATCGCTGTATCAATATAATTGCTCGTCTATTTAATGCACCGGTAGATGATCCTAAGTCCGAGTCTATGGGTGTTTCAACCATCGGTTCTTCAGAAGCCATAATACTAAGTGTGTTGGCAATGAAGAAGTTATGGCAAAAAAGAAGAATTGCAGAGGGAAAGTCAATCGAACGCCCGAACTTAGTTATGTCGGCTTCAGGTAATTTATTCTTTTTACTATTTTTTAAAACAACATTAATAATCCATCCGATTTTATTATGTAGTTCAAGTTTGTTTGGAAAAAGGTAATTAATTAATTTATTTATTTATTTCTCCTACTTAAGACCTTGATACTAAATTCTCATTACATAATAACAGCTGCAAGTTATCTTGAGGTTGAAGAAAAGTTTGTTTACTTAAAGGAAGGGGAATATATTCTTAACCCGCAAGAAGCTGTAAATCTTGTTGATGAAAATACAATTGGTGTTTGCGTCATATTAGGGTAAACTTTTAAAATGCTTTATATTCAGGTTAATTTTTATCTTTCTAATTATGGTTCTTCGAAATTCGAAGGTCTACATACACAGGACATTATGAGGACGCGAAGACCGTTAATGATTTATTACTCGCCAAAAACAAAGAAAATGGGTGGGATGTACCTATTCATGTTGATGCGGCGTCTGGTGGATTCGTCGCACCTTTCATTAACCCCGATTTGGTTTGGGACTTTAGGTTATGTGTCTCTCATTTCGTTGTGATTTATTATGATCTTGGTTTTTCTTTGGCTTAAAAATTTTAAATAGGCTTCCGTTAGTGCGCTCGATTAACGTATCAGGACACAAATATGGATTATGTTACCCAGGAATCGGATGGGCGATTTGGAAATCACCAAAATATTTGCCTGAAGAATTGATTTTTAACGTGAATTACCTCGGAACTGATCAGGTAAGACTATGAATTACTTAATGTGATATTTTATAACGATCCCTTTATTAATGAAACGTTTCAACAAAGGCCACATTTACACTCAATTTCTCCAAAGGTGCAGCCCCTGTAATATCTCAATATTACATGTTAATCCGACTTGGGCGTTCCGGATTCACTGCAATTATGAAGAACTTGATGGATGTCGCAAACATTCTTGCCGATCAATTGGAGAAAATCGGAAAATTCGAGATATTAAGTGACAGAACCGGAGTTTCTTTGCCACTTGTGGCATTTAGATTAACTTCTAAGGACATACATTACGATGAGGTTATAAATTATTTTTACTCCCAAACTTAAAATTAAGTACTGAAGTATTAAACAATACTGTAGTTTGATGTGGCACAAAGGCTCCGGGAACATGGATGGATCGTGCCGGCTTACACCATGGCACCACATATTGAACATATTAAATTATTACGCATTGTAATACGTGAAGATTTTTCACGAGCACTATGCGATATGCTTATTAGAGACATTATGGCTACTATGGAACATTTGGATGACCTGGACAAACATGCCATTAAGAAGAGAAGGTAACTTGCACATATACTGTACATATATGTACAATTTTTATACTTCTTGTATTACCCATAACGTTAATATGTATTCGTTCTATGCATCTATGATAACAGGGATTCATTTAAGATGCCTCAAAGTTTACGGAATATAAAGGCCAGTGTCCGAGGAAAGAAAAAGGACGGGGATTCTAGCAAGACCCATGGAATTTGTTAGAAAAGTGTTTATGAAGCTTTCAATTTGATATACGTTAGTCCTTAAATAAAGATCCTTATTGTAAACTCTTTGTATTGTTTTATATGTGAATAATATTTTTAATTCTAATTTACATTTGATTAACAAACGTCATAAAGAATTCTTTTTTCAATCTTAACAAAAGTTTTCTAATTTTTTTTTTGTTTTTTTTTTTTTTTGCGAACGATATTAAATGCATGACATTATTCAACAGTTGAATTATAAGCCAACATTAATAATCATTACAGGAATAATTATAGCCAACCGCATGGGATACTATTGGTCAGGTACGAGTGCTCTATAAGAGGAGTCATAAGATTAGTAAGGTGTAATCAATTTTATGGGAAGATAAGTTGATCACAGTTTGGAATTTAAATAAAATAAAAAGACAGTTTTATTGTATTCATCTTGAGTTGAATAGTGATAATATTATTTGGTAATCAAATTAGACTTTCCTGTTTAGCTGTTTATTTCTGATTATATAATGATAGGTTAAATCATTAACAAATAAATTATTATACTTTTAATATTGTCAATTAAATTTTTTACTATTATTACCTTTTTTTATTCAAGAGTTAATAAATAATTTGCAACTTGAAAAAATAAGATATTTCCAAAATTTTAAAAATATAATATTCTTTGTTACAAGTTTATTTTTTAATTAAAAAATTTTTAATCTTATTTTAATTTTTTTTTAAATTAATTTTATTATCTTAACTAAAATATAGATTTTGATAAACCAAGGGATTAAAAAAATAGTTTAATAAAAGAAAAAATGAAAAAAAAATCTTAAAAAAAAAAGTTATATATTAATATAAAGAATATAAAATAAAAAAATAAAAATAAAAATATATTTGTTTATAATAATTTAAAAACAAATGAAACCTTATTTCAAAAGTATTCTTTTTTTCAAAAGGACAAACTTTCTTTATTTCATATTATTACCATATACAAAATTTAGATTTGTATATATTTTTTATATATTTAAAAAAAGTAAAAAAGTCTTATTAATATACGTAAATATCTCTTAAATTTTATTTATTATTTATTAATATAATTATATATAAAATTAAAAAGAAAAAATAAATTTATTTGAAATATATTTTTTAACTTTTTAATTGTTTTATTATAATTATTTAATTGTTGTTTATTATAAATATTAATTATAAATATTTAAATCAGAATTTTATATAACCAATATAATATAATATTTTTATTTTATTATTGTATATTTTATATAAAAAATTCTTTATATTAATAGAAAAATAATTTATTTTAATTGATTTTATTTTATATTATTATTTATATATTAATTAATTATTTTAAATTATTTCAAATTTTTTATTTTAAAGAAATTCTAAATAATATGGATAATTTTACTTAATAACATTTAATTTTTTTTATTTTTTTATTTTTTTATTTTTTTTTTTTAATTGGCGAAGTCCTGCCATTGAGTTTTTATTTATTCATTAATACAGGCTTATGTACGCAAATTCAATTGCGAGTCTATATATTTATGAAAGGAAAAAAACATCATGACTCAGTATTCTATTACTAGAAACCCTGTGACTTGCTGCAGTCCACCATGATGGGCGCTAGCGTGTCAAGACTCCACTAGCACTAATATTGATTGAAAAGAAAAAGAAAGTGAAGTAACTATTATTGAGGGTGTTCTCCGTTATAATGTTTGTGAGTTCTATATATAGTTGCCCAAACCTGTCCTTAAGATATTTGTTCAGATCTATTTGGGCTCGTTCAGGCACTGGATCTGATTCGAAGGATTTGATGGCTTGTGTGGTTGGTGAGTCAGGGCTTTGTAGTGTTGTTTGATGGTTGGCTATGTTTTGTTTGATCTGTCCCTTTCTGCGCTTGAGTTTTTTCCCTATATTTTGGCTTTTTTCCCAACTGATTGTAATATCGCATCTCCATTTCCATGCCTCTCGCTTGGCTTGCCAGAATCTGTGTGTTGCTTCTCTGATTGCCTCTAGTGCTCTAGTTCTGTCCTTGGTTATAGATTCCGCTACTTGGATCATGCCGTATATTATAACTCCCCTGACGATGTCCTTCCATTTCACTTGATGCCATTCTTGGATATTTTCATTATACTCCTGTGTTATTGATGTTCTTTTCCATTTGTTTTGAATCGGTTCTGTCTGTTTGCCTTCAGCTCTTGCTGCACTTTCCTCTGTTAGAGCCTGTATGTAAGCTTCCTGAAGTTTTGTTTGTATTGTGCCACATTGGAAGATATGATGGTTTGTTTCTCTGTGCTACTTACAGATCTTACACTTGTCATTCAAATATATATCAGAATGTCTTTCATTTAATTTATCTATGGTAGGTAGTTCTCCCATCCATGTTTTAATTCTGAAGGAACGGTCTGTGTGATCTTTCACATTAGTTGTTGTTGTTGTGATTTTTGTTGTCATTAAAAGCTTGAATGTTAAGGGCCAGTGGATTTCCCTGGATTTCTTTTGATTCAGCCAGTCCTGGTTCCTGTGCAGGGTTCGCCATTTACTTGCCCATTTGTTCTTGAGAATTTGCCTTGTTAGGGGCTTGATCGCAATATCATATTGTTTTTGGTTCCATCTAGTTAAGATGTTTGTTGATGTTGCCATCCGTGTGTTAACTGTTATAGTGTGCTTGAGTTTGTCTGTGATATTTGTAACAGCCAGCCGGTCTACCTTCTCGTTACCTGGGATGCCTGAATGACTTTTGACTTTTGTCCAGTTCACTGTTAGGCTTTTGGTTTGAATGAGATCTATGATAGTGCTACTAAGAATTTGGTTTGACTGGTTCGTTTTTCTTGTGCGACTCTTTCTAGTTGTGGGTACTCTTAACATGTTGATCACTACCTGGCTGTCTGTGAAGATGGTGATGGGTTTGTTGGGACTGATGGTACTTGTTGTTGTTAGTATGACCATTAGTTCTGCTCTTGTGGATAAGGGGGTGTCATGTGTTTCTGCCTGGAATTCTGCTACTTGTTTTCCATCTTCCGTGGTTATGATCCAGCCTAGACCCATTCTACTTCTTTCTGAGTGTCTGGTGAAGGAGCCGTCTGTGTATAGCCTTAGATTGTTGAGTTCACTGATCTCTGTTGCAATAGCTGTAAGCTGATTTGTAAGGTTTTGATGTCCGACTAGTCTACTGCGTATTAAGTGTATTGTTTCTGAGAGGGGATCTATGTAGATTTGTGGTGTCCACCCTGGAGTTGTTAGTACTGTTTCCTTTTCTTGCAATGCTTTTTTGATTCCTTTGGGGATGGAACGTAACCTATTTCATATACCCTATTGTCCTATTGTTAGGTCTTGGTTAGAATCATTCGGCTTGGAGCTGTTGTCTACTGTTATGTTGACAGTTCTTGCCCTGATCAATTCTGCAATGCATTGGCCTTGTTATTTATATCGGCTCCTTAGCTGCTAATTATTTCTTCGACATCCTTTACACTTGAAAAGGGGTGAAGTTGATGGGAGTGATGTCATGTGGTTGGCTATTATCTTGTTTGAGTCTACCATTCTCTTCTTCCTGTATATTGCGATTTCTCCATCTGCTTCTATAGCTATCCATTTGATGGTTCTCGGTGGCTGAGATGGAAGCACTAGGATATTGTTACGGAAGTTGTTGTTTGTATTGCTAGGAGGGGAATCTGATATATTTGTACATGAGTTCAGATTTGGGTCCATGCATATAATTTGTTGTAGGTCTTGGAACCATCTTGGAGTCTTTCCCTGTCTACCTTTGTGTATTCTGAGTTGCTACCATGTGAGGGGTCTTGATAAATCATCATTCATAAGCTGTTCCTTGAAAAGGATGCCTCTCTTCTTTAATGCTGATCTATTTTGATTATACCATTCTTCTGATACCATGTTTTTGATCGCTGTCTTCCCTCCCTGAGGAGGGATACATATGGTCATGTATTCTGTCATCTCAAATGTGATACCCTGTACCTTGAGCATGTTGAGGATATCATTCGTGAGGTTCTGTCGTTTTTTTATCCAAAAGGGGTATTTGTCTTCTAAGATAGATGTATTTGACCAGTACTGATTTTGAAGTTGTTGTAGTCTGATCCATACTGTTTTGCTGCAAATGTCAAAGCCATTGATTCTTTTGGCCCAGTTGTTTCCATGTAGCAGGACCTGTCTGTCCCACAGGTTGAAGAGTCTGTATCCAAAGTCTGCGTGAATGATGGTGTTGGGGGCTGTCCTTGGCAAGTTGATTTTGTGCTTGAAGGTTTTGACTATCTTGCTGTTTACTCGGTCACATTCTTGTTCTGAAAGGGTCATGGCATTGAGGAGGTACTCGATTGCTGGATATAAAACCTGGTTTATTATGTAGCATGCTTGCTTGTCTGTGATTTTCTTCCATTTGATAAGATTGACTGTGTTGTCAATCTTTTCTTGGATGTGTTGTTTCTGGTGCTGTTTTTTCCCATTTTCTGATATCCAGACTCCTAGTATGTTGCCATCTCATTTTTTCTTAAGGATATAACTTTGGTCCCAGCCAGTGTAACTCCTTGTTCC